TCTGCAAACTTCATCAGTACCTTGAAATCCTCCTTGCTTGTCCGTACCAGCATACTGTCTTTTTCACTGTCAGTTCCCGATTCTTGTCTACAAGTTTTCTTTCTTTTACGATTAACAATTTTACTCCAATCATTTGCTCCTGAACTCCTACTGCTACATTCTTCCTCCATCTCCGGATCACTTCCGGTACTACCATCACTTTCTTCCATCAATGCTCCAGTCACAGTCCAGTGTTGTCAACTGCCTCACACCTCAAATGATGGAGTTCCTCTGACGCCATAGTACCTCACCCACGAATTTATATATTCGCTCACTGCCCGATGATAGGACAATCAATGAACAACCAGCCAACCAAATGTAAGCAGGAAGAGCTTCACTAGTCCTGCCACATCTTCAATAACAGTGTTCGTTTTAACATCAAAGACAGTCAAATCACTTGTTACATTCAAACCTTCATAACAACTTGATTAACATCGTAAATTACTTAGTCAAATGTTTTCCAGAGCTGAACTGTTAAAAGATCGCATTTCTGAGCTGTGCTGCATCATCATTCCTTCTCTTTCACTTCTGAACATACCCAAACTTCTGCAGTGAGATCGCGATTTCAAAATACAAGTCACGGAAGAAAGAAGAAATAATTCACAATATATACAAATAAAATAGTAAAATAATACACAAAAATACCATTTCAATTATTTTTTTAATTAAGGGTTAATTAAATTTCCTAGGCCGGACCTCAATTTCAGTTTGTCCTGATCTGTGAGAAAAAGTATTTTACTGCGATTTGTTCTCAAAAGAGTCAATGGTGAAATGTACTGAACACACGCGTAAATTAGCACTGACGGGACTGGGACGTTCGCTAAAAATAAACTGAATCCATTTTTCTCTGACATCGGGATCCATCAGCTAAACCTGTAATAAGGACTGTAAAGAGATGGACTAATGAAGTAGAGCGGGATTTACAAGCCTGCTTCGACTGCACTGATTGGAGTGTTTTTGAAGCTGCAGCCACCGATCTGGACGAGCTGAGACTGTAACTTCATATATCAGCTTCTGTGAGGATATGTGCATCCCCACCAGGACATTCCTATCACTGAATAATGATAAACCGTGGTTTATTAATATTTCATTGGTCCTCTTGTTTATGCATGTGTTCATAATTTCTTTGTATGACAGCATGCCAAAAATTATGACCGCACAATTTGGCATGTTTCATTGCATTATTATCACAAATAAAACCACTGACTCTAAGCAACTATGCAATATGCTTACAAAATCTTGAACATTCATTTATTTTATTTTTTTAATTAAGGGTTAATTAAATTTCCTAGGCCGGACCTCACTTTTGGCCACTACTATATGGCAATTAATTAACTTTCCAACTGACCGCCAATCCATACTGCAAAATCAGTACTTTTTACTAAGAATTTTTTGACACTTAAGTCAAAGCTTAAGACTATTCTTAAGAGCATTTCTGAGAAGTTTTATACATACGGGCCCAGAGTGGCAAAAAAAACCTACTCTGAAAAGCAGTAGACCCGGCATCAGTATGGACTGGTCTGATGAACATCAGTAAGTACAAGACACCACCCCCACATTCTGTGGAAGATGTGTTTTACTGTCGGTTTGAAAAGCCCAGTCTCTGCTTCAAACCCTCCACCATCATTCCGGCCCTCAAAAAAAATTTAAAAAATCACTGGACTTGATGACCTTTTGCTCTCACTTCTGTGGTCATGAAGTCATTTGAAGTCCTGGCCTACCTGAAGAAAGTAGCCTTCTGCAGTATCCTGTGAATTAACAGCGTTCAGAGTCGACACTCAGAGACTGTGTCTGAAATCACACCCTACACCCTCATTCACTAGTCCCTACATTAGTTTACTCATATAGTCCACCGGACAGAGTGATTGAAAACAAATGAGTGAATTCAGACTCTGATGAACACCTGCTGTTAACAAGCAGAGTCACTGAAGGAAAGAACAAGAAACAAAACTAACTGACACACAGCCACAGCCTTAGATGAAAGCAACTGAAATAAATCAGCAGAGGATGATGGATGAGGAGATCCCCCCTGACAATGTAAAGCGCTTTGAGTACCTAGAAAAGCGCTATATAAATGTAATTAATTATTATTATTATTATTAATTATTGAAGGTGGTGTAATTATCATCTAGTGGCCAGATTCACTGATCTCATCACTGATCACTGATTCACTGATCTCCAACTGTAAACGAGGAGACATACCAATAGAAAACGATTTCAAAGCATCAGTAACTGTGTTTATTTTGCACAGTGCAAAGCATTTAAAAAAAATACATTTAAATATTAAAATATGTGTCTTAATTAAATTTTTTATTGTAGTTACATTACATGATTAGTGATGTGCGGCTGTGATTTCACAAGAGCATGCTCACTATTGGCTGTTTCAGAGGTCGAGGGCAGCCATTTTGGGTTGACATCATTGTAGTCCTTAGTTTGCAACACTTAAGTGTCACCTCAGTCAACACTTAAGAATCAGTACTAAAAGTTGCTTTTAGCTTCTTTATAAAAGTGTCCTACTCTTAGAAAAGTCCTACTTGTAACTAAGAATTTTTGACACTTAAGTCAATGCTTAAGACTATGTCTGAGAGGTTTTGTACATGCGGCCCCTGATGTTTTTAATGATTTTGCTTAATTCAGTAAGTTTTTTTTGTGGACTTAAGTAAAATACGTTCTCAGTACTAATATGCTCTTAAACATTAGACATATTAGTTGATAAACAAATGGGAGTTGGCCCATTTAAGTGCAGTTGGTTTCTGCAAATGAAATGAGTGAACTTGAGTTTTAATTTAGTGGTATTTTTACAGTAACATGCTGTAAAAGTGCAGCTGCCAATATTTTACTGTTAATTTACAGGACAATTTTTTTGCGCAGCCGTTCACCGTTCCGTTCAGCGTGACACATTTGTGTCAATGTGACACATTTTTGCTCATTATGATTTTTTTTCCATTGATATTGGAACGCGTGTGAAGTAAAGCCTAGTTTACCTAATAATAGTTTAGCTTCAAATATTGCGAATATGGAAACATTTGACAATGACAATTTATTTATATAGCACAATTAAAAACAACCCAAGTTGACCAATGTGCTTTACAACAAATAAAATCACACACAACAAAATAAAAACAATAATACAAAAACAATTAAAATCGCAGTAGAGTATAAAAGAAAGTGCTTCAGCATAATAAAAACAGTAAGCTACTGTACAATGGAAAAGTTCTAAATGCTTTATCAAACAGAAAAGTTTTTAATCAAAATGGGCAAATCCTTCCAAAGTCTGGGGGCCACTACAGAAAATGCGCGGTCACCTCTGGATTTGTGCCCAATGAGAGAGGTATATGAGCCCAACTTTACTTTCTGTTTCGCTTTAAATTAATTTGTTTTGGCTTGTTTATAGCTAGGCCCTATGAAAGAAAATGAGGTTGGGCCCCCTGCCGCACCCATTCCGCACCCAACATACAAGCCAACCTAGTTATCCAAAATCTTTGTCTGCAATTTAATAATACTGACCTATTACTTTTGTAATTGTTTTTGACCACTAGGTAGGTATTAGTATTTAATCAGAGACCTACCCATAGCCGCGGGAATATATTTTATCTGGGGGTGGGGCTTGATGTTGTAGGGCGGGGCTGCGGTGGGGATTTTAAACAAAATCCTAATATTAAACAGCCCAAACACTTATATATGAACATACAAATTAATGAAGACAGCATTATATAAGAATGAATATATATTTGTGCTTTTGTGATTTTAGCTCATTAATATTTTTAAGTGGATTTTACTAAATATTAACCTCTAAATTATGCACCATTTATCTTCTGCAATATCAGGGTGTAGCCTCTAGATGGCTGTATAGCCCTATATGTAAATACATATAAACCGTTTGCTGCAGAGTAAGAACTTAAGACATAAAGCACCTTACTTGTATCAGGTTATTCATTGATATATTTTCAGACATTATATTTTAAAACATAGAATTGAGTGTTTACATACCATGAACAGAGACGTTTGTGGTTGAGATGTGTATCCTATTTTTTTTTAAATCTGCATCGCAATCAGCAAATTGAGATTCCAGTAACTTTACTGGCATGATACAAAGCATACGAACCAATGGTGTTGCGCATTTTCAAATTTAGAGGATACAATTCGTTTTCAGTCACGTGACTGGCTCGAAGACCTGTCAGGCAAAACATCCATAGAATTGCAGCAAAATCTTGTCAATTTTCCATTTGTTTCCAATCCACAAATATTTAGATCTTTTGATGACCGGACTCACATCTTCGTCGAACTCGAAGACATCTCTAATTTGACAGTTTACCATCTGATCTCACTCAGTGACTCTAGGCTGCGTAGGTGAGACGAAACCATGTAGTGAACCTACTGCTGCAGGTAGCCTATTATTTCTGAATGTATAAAATGCGACTTATAGGCTACGTGACATAGCTATCTGTTATATTTTTCCTCTCAAAAATGTAAAATTTATGTTTAGCGTGTTTTTTTAAACATGCAGCAAACGAAAGAGGCGATTAATCAGTTAAAAATCCTTACTGTCTGTTAACAAATTTACAGATGACAACAGAGTCAGAGCAACAGCAACAGCAAGTCTGGGCCAAATCTGACTTACTGGGTTGTTACATTCGGCACTTCTGGCTTAATTCTGGCCAAAATTACTTAACTACAGTCGTGCCTACATAATCAATATTCAGAAACAAGTGACGTTATTTATTTATTTATTTCTTTTCAGTGAATCACATTGATGGATATTAAAACAAGCATGTAACGACCACAAACGGAGGGAAAATAGCAGAGTAAAAGTACAGATACATCACTAAAAATGTACTCAAGTAAAAGTAAAAGTACACAATTTTGAAACCACTCAAAAAAGTACAATATATGAAAAAAAAAACTAGCTAATTACAGTAACATGAGTATTTGTAATTCGTTACTTCACACACTTTATTGATGCCATATGCTGTTACAAAACAAACACGTAGGCTATGTTTAATTTTGTTTTATGAGTAATTTGAACATAGGAACATAGGAAGTCGTTTTAGCGAGTTTAAGGTCATTCCATTCAAAAGCTCGGCAAGATATCCTGTATGAAGTGCTTCAATTAAACACAAGAATAGTTAATAAGGGATATCAGGTAAAGGGAATAGATAACCTATTATCTGATCCACACTCCGGAGCAGAAGGGGGCGGTAATGCACCAATAAGCTGGATGCCAATCGCCGTTAAACTGAAAAGAAGAAGAAGAAGAAGAACATAGGAAGTCAAGTTATTTTTGATCATAGCATGTCTCCACTAGAGGTCACTATTGCATTGATTCCTGCGTGTTCTCAGGCGACTCTCATGAACTGTATTTCCTGCTTTTGCCTGCGTTACTCATTGCGTATTGTATATGTTCCCAGACAATAATTTGTCTGACTGCTTAAATGTACTGTGTGTTTGCCGTTAGGATTTGTCTGAGGAGTATCTTAAGGATATACATCTATATTAATAGGTCACGGTGTGGATCCATGGGTCTATTCAGTCCATGAGTGAGACAAATTGTCTGGAACGGACAACCAGCAAAATGACTACAAGAGCATCGTACCTGAAGTTTTAGAAGAATCCTTGACAAACGAGACTTTTTAACATCTCAAACATCTGTTGAACTTAAACTGAAAATGTGTGACCTGATGCTGGCGGCAGTTAAACCTAGTGGGTAACATGTGCATACATGGTTTATGTGCATAGAAGGCTCAGAATGATCTTGGCATTTTCGCCTTCATTCAAATAGAGTTCGGACAAGATCGGGAGGGTCCACGAACTGGGATTCGAACTTGGTTCGCTCAACCGCAACAGGTGTGTCTGAACTCGTGAGTTTGCAAGCGCTGGCTTTCACGGGTTTTTTCAGAATAATTTCCGATCCGATACTTCTCTAGTCTGAAACTTCCGTCTTTCAGCATACATGTAGTGTAATCCTCTGGCACTGACTGAACACGTTGTCAATATATGCGACAAAGAACTCAAAATTTCTTTTAATCAAGGGCTCTTAAAAGTGGTGAGGATTTATTTATTTACATATTTGTTTACTTTATTTATTTATTTATTTATTTACTTCTTATTTATTACTTATACTGATTTACTACATTGTTTCCAGACTTTGCACTATTTGAATCTTATCTAATTGAATGAGACATATGTCTAATTTAGCAAATAAAACAACGATTAGCTTCCATTATCTGTGCTGTAGTTTTTGTCTCTCCCACAGAACAGACACACTTATATCTCATTCAAAATACCTTTTAATATCAAGTGTTTTTATTTTCGGTGGTGATCGAGTCTGATCACTTCCCTTTTATTATTCTTTTTAGATCAGAAGATGTCAAGCAAAAATGGCTCATTGCTGTGCCGTTTGGGTGTAATAGTGACATTTGCAGGTGTCATCTCTATGAGCATCATGTTTTCCCGGTTCTCACCTTCTCACAACTGTCCACCGCCACTTCCTAAACCCAAACAAAACTCAGTACATAACTGTGCCAAGAGTAACAACTCTCTTACTGATAAAGCAGAGGAGAAACCTGTACTTCTGTTATGGGTTTGGCCTGAAAATTATAGGTTTGATTTCAGTGACTGCAAAACGTTTTACAATATTGATAGTTGTCAACTGACGGATGATCGAGCTCTCTACAACAGTGCAGATAATGTCATTGTTTATCATAGAGCCATCACTGATCTGTCCAACCTTCCTCCGTCTCCTCGTCCTCCGTTCCAAAGGTGGATTTGGTTGCATTTGGAATCACCAACCAACACCAAAAGGATCCCAGGTCTGGAAAACCTGTTCAATCTCACTCTCAGCTACAGACAGGATGCTGATATTCCTGTACGGATGCGCTTGATCACCAGGAAAAAACCTAATGAGGATTTTGTAATTCCCAAAAAGGACAAACTGGTGTGTTGGGTTGTAAGTAACAAGGATCCATCAACTGGTGTTGACACAAGGAACGTTTTTTACAGGGAATTCAGCAAATACATCCAAGTGACTTTGTTCGGAAAGGCTTTTTCAAGGTTTCTGGGTTACGACGACTACTATCCAACCATGGCTAGTTGCAAATTTTACCTTGCTTTTGAGAACTCCATCCACAAAGACTACATCACTGAGAAGTTAAATGGGCCACTCGCGGCAGGTACCGTCCCTGTGGTGTTGGGTCCTCCGAGAAGAAACTATGAGAACTTTGTTCCTGCCGAGTCCTTCATTCATGTCGATGACTTCCCAGATCCAAAGTCACTAGCCGAATATCTGCTTCAGCTGGACAAGGATGAAGATGCATATCGCAAGTACTTTAACTGGAGGAAACATCTCACTCCAAGTCCTCATTTAATATTGCAGAGACAAGAGTTTATTCTGGCTATTTGCACTGCCTGTGACTATATCGCACGACACAGGGAATATAAAGAAGCTCATGATCTCTATGATTGGTACTTCAGTTAATGTCACCTCAGGTTTTGGAGTGATTTAGTGATTCATTTTACTCCACAAATATTTTTTATATAAATTTTTAAATATTATTTTAAATAATGTATCACTTGAGTTTGAATCTTTTCATCTGCAAATCCCTTTTAAATCACCTTTGGATCATATTCAGGAAGAAAGACAACAATTATAAGTTTGTGTGTATACATAGGCTACTTATTCTTCATGTCTGTAATTGTTGTTGGCTGGTTGTTTTTCAAATACAAATGTCCTCACGTGCAGCTTGTTAGCAACACCATTTCTTTTTGTAATTTAAGTTTTGGTTATGTTAATTACATAAATATAAGGCAGTGTCTTTGAACCTGTCAACCCAACTCTGCACTCGTGTTTAAAAAGCAATTTGTTGCTATTTACCAATGGTCCAAAACCTTATTTACACTCGAAAGCTTATTGTGCACTTAAAATAAATACAATGCATTTAAAGTACTGCTACCTCATGTTCATTATATTTTCGACGTAAAAGGTCAGATATAAAATCTTTTGTCGCCAGGACAAAAGAGGGCGCCTGAGCTCCTAGTCAACGTGAAGACTGACGTTCAAGACGTGCGCAGCGTCAGTGACGTCACGTGCGTGAAACGTGTGTTCTATACTACAGCCAAAGCAGTAGAGATGTTCTGGATGAAGGAAACAATCCTGTCAGTTGTGTTTTAAGTCAGGAGACTAGGTTTATTGTTTATCTTTAAGCTCATCAGATCTTTGTTTTATAACGGTTTAACATTTATTTTCTTTAGCACGTCTTCGTGCTATGTCTTACGTCTTAACTCGTTGAAATGAATCACACCCCGTAGGAAATACTTAAAAAGGTTTGTATTTTTTGTTTTAATGCATTTTAATGTGTTAACTCTCTAAAATTGTTCTGGAATACCCTGATTCTCTCGAACGCTGTGAACTTCCATATTCATTTATAGTTTTATAGTAATTCTTTAACCCTTTCAGGCACTGAATTTATTTCAGGCATTAGTTTATTCACCCCTTAAGCGAGTAACAAACCATTAAACAAACGTGTGCACGGGTTTAGGGTCATTTTGAGGTGATTTCTGCTTGTAATCACTAGGGTCCAGGTGCATACAAATGCACTTTTACAATTCAATCCAACAACTTTCATTCCTGTTATGGGAAATGCTATTACATCTTTAAGAATTGTATTTAAGTTAATATGCTTTTTAGTTGCATAGGTTATGTTATATATTTCTATTTTGTAGCATGTTACTTTCAGAGGACATATTCAAAGTAATATTCAAAATAACATTTTTTTTTTTTTTTAGAAGGATCATCGCTTTCCTTCAATCTAAAGAACATTTATGTTGGAAATGGAAATAATACTAAGTCCCTGAAAGGGTTAAAGCAGGTGTTTTCAAACTAGGGCCTGCAAGAAAGTGCGGGAGGTCTGTGGAAAAATATAGAGAAATAAAATAAATAAATGAGATTAACTAAATAGATAAATAATTAGAATAAAATAATTAAATGAAGAATTTCATAAATAAATTGATTTTTAAATGGTTTTAAATAATCCATCTAACATTGCTATGTCAAAAAGAAAAATGTAATAATGACACATAATATAAAATAAATATTTTTTAAAGTAGTATTTATAATATATATACAGTGGGTACGGAAAGTATTCAGACCCCCTTAAATTTTTCACTCTTTGTTATATTGCAGCCATTTGCTAAAATCATTTAAGTTAATTTTTTTTCCTCATTAATGTACACACAGCACCCCATATTGACAGAAAAACACAGAATTGTTGACATCTTTGCAGATTTATTAAAAAAGAAAAACGGAAATATCACATGGTCCTAAGTATTCAGACCCCTTATATATAGAAAGTAAAAATTAGGTCTTTATACAAAAAAATATATAGCTGCTTTTACGTCTGTGTTTTGATCTGATATTTCTCTGAAATGCTCTGCAGTGCCCTGTGTGCGTCATCATGCCGGTCCAGTGCAGTAACTGCGTCCAGAGACGTGCCGTGCTCAAACGGCCCAAGACCGGACACTCTCTCTGTAAGGACTGCTTCTTTTGGGCATTCGAGGAGGAGATCCATCAAACCATCGTGTCCGCTGGACTCTTTAACCGTGGAGAGACCGTGGCCATCGGTGCCTCGGGCGGGAAGGACTCTACCGTTCTGGCCCATGTGATGAAGGTCCTGAACGAGCGCTATGATTACGGCCTGAACCTTCTGCTGCTGTCGGTGGATGAGGGCATCACGGGTTACAGAGATGATTCGCTGGAGACGGTGAAGAGGAACCAGCAGCAGTATGAGCTGCCGCTGAAGATCGTGGCTTATGAAGAGCTGTACGGCTGGACCATGGACGCCATCGTGAAGCAGGTGGGATTGAAGAATAACTGCACTTTCTGCGGTGTGTTTCGCAGGCAGGCGCTGGACCGAGGAGCCGTGATGCTGAAAGTGGACAAGATATGCACAGGCAAGTAATCACGGTCTTTCACTGCCTTCTCCGGTTTGATCAAGCATGTGTGTGTGAGATTTTAGACATTCTGCAAGACAAACCATGTGTTTCGGTGTTAAAGGTCCCATATTGTCAAAACTGAAATTTCCTGGCTTTTTTCACGATAACTGAGGTCTAGGGGCTATTTAACTACCATATAAGTTTCCAAACAGTCAGTCCACAGTAAAATGCACACAGCCTGCATAAAGTAGCTGTGATTTTTCACGAACCGTTGTGACTTCCGTAAAAAGTTGACGTCAGAACGACACAGTCACCGCCTTCAGTCACCACCCCGAGCACCGCCCACCGTCCCACTGTCCTTTTGCCAAACCCCCAGACAACATCGCGTCCATGCCATTGCTGAGCAACAACAACACGGAAACATGTGAAAAGGTTAACTTTAACCACGAAACCAGATCGGCCGACCTGTAACGTTACACTCTCACTCAAAGGATGGACGATCTGACAGGATTGTTACTATGAGGTGGATCACATCTAACGTGTATAGTAAAGACAAACTCACGGTGTCTATCTAGTCATGATGAAGATGTATATATATTTCAATTTCAGCAGGAAACTATTTTTACAGCTACATTATTGTTCCAGCCACAATTAATTACAACAATGTATATACAATTACAAATGATTATATATAAATCGTCAGTTTGTTGTTTTACACACATGCACACAGACATTATTTCATACACGACATAGTCGTGACTCGTGAGATGCAAGAAACATAATCTGTAAACGCACCCATAACAACAAAAGACAATACTTTATTGAACCTTTTCTGATAAGAAGTATGCGCTGCAAACGCGAGCATTTTTGACGATCGTTTCTGTCCAGTCTGCTCGTTTTATCGCGTTTAACCACAGCTGTCGTCGGTTTTTTGTCTGGCAGTGGCAGCAGATATGCGAACAAATTTCAAATTTGAAGCTCTGCACTGGTTTGAATGGGCCGCCTCCAGTTTCTCCTTTGTTTAGCTGCTTCCAGCTAGCGCTGTGACGTCGCTGACCCTAGTTACCTGTGGTTGGCATGGCCATGCGCCACTCAGAAAACAACAGGCCAATCAGAAGAGAGGCTCATGAATATTAATTAGACAGGCCAAAATCGACCTGTTCTCAGCAGAGCTCCTGAGAAAGGAGCTGTAAAAATATATTGAGATGGTTTTTGGTACTTATACCGCAAATATATATTCTTAAGGACATCAAAACCTAAAATAAAACTCCAGAAAGGTGTAAAATATGTGACTTTTTAATAAATTGCATTGTACCATCTCAACCTTAATACATTTGCATGTGTGTTTTGAAATGGAGATGTATTTCGATTCTTTCAAGGTCCTCTGAGAATTTAATCCTGATATTTCAGTTCATGTTATATATTTCCATTTTCAATTGTTTACTGTATAACTAATTCTAAAATGATCATCTACTGACACACATTACTAAACATAAAATTAAGTTATAATAATACAAAATCAAGTTACACATTACAGTATTTTTTAAAGAGAAATGTAATTAAATTAATATTAAAGTTTATGCAAAATATAATTGCGTCTTTTTTTCTTTACATTTTGGGCAAAATATGACGTGAAAATGTTTGTTTCCAAATCAAAAATATTATTTAATATGACTGATTGAATCATCCTGAATATATCAGATTACACCTACAAAACCATGAGACTAATTTATAAGGATTTATACATTTATATTTTATGTTTTATACAGTGTAACGCTTAGTTCATTTTTTCCTGTTTCATCTCTAAAATTATTCTGAAACGCTCTCAAATAGTCTGAACTCCTATAGAAAGGAAAGGGACAAGGATAGACCAAAAATCATCCTCGTGAAGAAAGAAAAAAGTTAAATAGAGTTAACACTTCTCTTTTATGGATGACCAAGCCTGTAAAAATAAAAAATAAAAATAAATGTAATAGACAAGATCTGATGCTTTTCAACCAATGATGCAGAAAGGACCAGCTCCCTCATTTCCATGTTGCACACAGAAAAGTAGAAATAAATAAAGAAATATGCAAATAGATATACAAATAAATGAAAGAATTTAAAATAAAGTTAAAAAGAATAAAAAATTACAAATAAACACAGAAAATAATAAACTTTATAATAAAAAAGCTTTAATTAATTAATTAAAATGTATCATTTCTTCCTTTGTTTTCCTTTTGTTTTTTTATTTATGCAAGTTTGGTCCTCCATAACTTTTTTTGTTTATTGAGCAGGTCACAATGCAGACGACGTGGCAGAGACGGTGCTGATGAATGTCCTGCGTGGAGATATCGCTCGTCTCCGGCGCTGCACCTCCATCAGCACGGCTAGTGACGGAGAGGGTGCCATCCCACGCTGCAAGCCCCTCAAATACGCCTACGAGAAAGAAATCGTCCTCTACGCCTATTTTAAGAAGCTTGATTATTTCTCCACAGAGTGCATCTACTCGCCCAACGCCTACCGGGGACACGCTCGCGCCTTCCTCAAAGACCTGGAGTCCATCAGGCCCAGCTCCATCATAGACGTCATCCACTCCGGCGAGACGCTCTCTATAAAGGAAGGGGTGAAGATGCCGGTGCAGGGAACGTGCTCGCGCTGCGGCTACATCTCCAGTCAGGCCCTGTGTAAGTCCTGTGTTCTGCTGGAGGGCCTGAATCGAGGTTTACCCAAACTGGGCATCGGGAAACATCACCGTCTGCACGGCAAAATTCTGGCTCAGGAGCCTTTGACCGAACAGGAGGAGAAGAAACTGAAGGCAGTGGACTTCTGACACAAAATCAGGACTTGATTTTAAAAACTGGACATTTGAGTTACGTGTCATCTGTGTTTTAAAGATGCTCTGAAATGAATGTTCATAATGTGAGACGATTTTGGAAGTCTCCGGCAATTTTGTATTTTTATTTTTTTATTTCAACCACAGTGGACTGAATGTAACACAT